CTTTATACCTTTTTATATTTTAAATACAAAAAATTAATTATACTATTTCATATTTTTCCATAATTATAGTATTATCTAATGAATCTTTTTATCTGGATGATTTAGTACACGGTATATATTTCTTTCTTTTTTAATTTCATACGACAATTTAATAATTGAACAAATGTTAAATAGGAACACATACACATATTTCTTTTTAATGTACCTAAAATTATTGATCTGTATTTCACATAGTTTGTACTAATATTAAACTGCAATTATGTGTGGGAAATAAAACATTTCGTGTAATTTTTCGTTAAAATCAATAATCATGTCTGATTTATTTAAACTATATGATAAGATTGTATATTGTATTGCATAAAAATTATTGTGATTCATATAAAATTATGCTGATCTAAAAACAGTAGAACTTAAAATTGCTGTCACTGTGCAATAACATTTTATTGTTAATAATATATAAGTTTTAAACAATAGAAAATGTGGACAGATATTTGTAATAAAATTACATTAATGAGATATAAAAAACATATCAGTTTGTGTACAGAGCCAACTGTAAAATGCGGACTTTTAATTTTTACCAACTGAAACTTGTTTGAAATGTATCTTATAAAAGATATTGAATCTATGTATTGTTTGAAACGTAAACTGAAATATAGAATTAATATATGATATGTTATTAGCTTTAAATGATCAGTTTTTATTATCAGATCTGTAGATGTTATCATAAGCGATAATTTTGTTTCAGTTCAAAATGTTTATTTCGATTTTCTAAAAATACAATGTGTTGTAAAATGTTCTTGACTGTCTGCACTTGGTTTGTTTCATGTGTTTAAATAGTTGGACATACACATAAGTAATTTATGTGCCACATAAGTTTGTTGTACGATTTTCTCAATTATTTATTTTGGAAGAATACAATTGTAATAACCCATACATTTACTTCATAGTATATGATTTATTTAAATACAAAATAAATAATATTATGAATAATAAATTTACATTATTAAATTTACATTTTTACTGTACATGCTGGAAAAAATCATTTAGTTGTACTTGTTGAAGGGATAATTCCAACAATTTATTTTGAATAGATAAATTTAAAGCATCTGGATGAACTTGGCTGGGGCGACAATTATTAATATATATACCACCAAGATTTTCCACTGCTTTATTTACAGCTGCATATGCAATAGAAATAGCTCCTTGTTTGGGAGTCTGAAGAAAACATTTTATTATTATTCCAACTATTTTATCCTAAAATTTTCCTGATTATATTTACCTTGAAAAAACATTGAAAAAATGATTTGAATTTCCATACATAAGTGTGTGTAAAAAGTTCTGTAAACACTACACCAGGGTGTACAGAATAAACTTGGACATTATACTGCTTTTCTTGTAGTAGACTTTGTAATCTCTTTGTAAATGTTTCTTGTGCTAATTTGCTTTGAGCATATGCATATCCAGTAATGAACTTCCTCCTGTTTTCAAAATTAGATTATATAATGGTACTAATTGCAGATAAGCTATGTACATTAGTAATGTAAGGTATACTAATGATGCAGTACTTGTTGTTAATGTCATTGAAATTAATTTTACCCAGAAGATGGGCACAAGAAGTAACATTAACAATCCTACTAGATTGTTGTGGAAGACCACCAGCTTTTAATAATGGTAGCAGAAGAGCTGTTAATAAAAAATGTGATAAATAATTTACACCCCATTGTTGTTCAAAGCCATCTACTGTCTCTGCATAAGGGCAAAACATGACACCAGCTACAAATAATAAAATATTAATTTTAATTTAATAATTCACATATTTATATTATTCATTCAATTTTATTTGTATTATTTATAAAGTTTAAATCATGCCTTACCATTATTCACCAATATATGAATTTGTGTATAATCTTTTTTTATTTCTGCAGCAAATTGTTTTACAGACTCTAAAGAAGCATTATCAAGTTTGTATACTTTTGCTTGTCCAGTATTAACACCAGATTCTCTGATTTGAAGAATAGCTTTTTCACCAGCAGAAGGTGTTCTACAGGCTGAAAAAAGTATATCTCAAGGTTTATAAAAAGTACTGCAAAAACAAATTTTATTGGCAAATGAAATTTATTTAATTTTTAGAGACTTAAATACTTCATAAACAGACCAATTATTACTTCCATGTCAAGTTGTAAAAACGTTTTCACCACTTCAATCCCAATTCCTCTAGATCCACCTGTTACAATTGCAACTCTACCAGTTTGAGTTGAACAATCTTTAAAAAAAACGTATTTACATAAAATTGTATTATACTGATTTTTAGAGCTCTTATAAATACATATGTATGAACATTCACTATTATATTAACCTATATTAATTA